TCTACCAGAAGCTAAAACCTCCACCTCTTCCGCATCTTTGGCTCTGCCCACCAGCACATCAAATATCTCATCCTGATGGGTTACAACTTGCCTACGCAGCTCGTATCTGAGTCCAAGGGCAAATTTACGACATCGATCTCTCTCCGTAGGTACCATACTGAATCCATACTTCAGTAATTTCAGGAACTCGATCTCATATTCAGAAACAGTCATGTCTCCCTGAACCAGGTCTTGAAACTGTTGTCGTCTCTGAGCTAAGTAGCGCTCTCCCAGAAAACGACTCCGAAAGCGATCCTTAAAGAAATTCCAGGTCAAACGATCGGTATGAACACTACTGGTCACTGACTCCCACCAAGTGTAGGCATTACCATCTAACATTGCTACAGCACCCAGATATCTCTTAGTTGAGTCCAAACCCAACTGATCCATGCGTCTCTCTGTATTCTGGAGCCAATCCTCAGCTTCAGTAGGAGCTCCACCAATCTGTCCCCCAAAAGTTCTAACTCCATTGGCAATCAACGTCTGTGAAATAGGAACCTCAGATACAACACCAGTAGCTCTAACTGCTCCCTGTATTAACTGCAGAAACTGTCTACTAAAATTCTCATCCAATGCAACTCCAGTAGACTCTGACTCAATATCGGTCGCTCCTATGATCGGTGTAGTCATGCCAATACCATCGGTAGGTGGCATATTCGTTGGTGTCGTAGGAGCAGGATCACCTATTGGAGGTGGGGGATCTACTCGTATCTCATCAATCGGATCTGCAAATCTAGCTACTCGACCTCGTCCACGACTAGTTCGACGACCACGTCTAACACTCATTTTAGTAGATCTCGAGATTACTACAGAAGATAAACTTAAGGTTAGATAAGCACTTGGAGTCTCGAACATAGTTAAAATCTTAATAACTTTGTGACATGGCCTTAGTAACTCGTTTTGTAAAATATTTCAAAACTGTATTTTCAATGTGGACTCATACACAGTCCGAGGGTTAAAAACCAAAAGCTCTGATACCAATAAATGTAACCCCCTAGACCCGGCCTATGCGTTTCGACTAAGTCTAGTGGATCACATTATGATTATTAAAGACATTTTTCGAAACCTTTATTCGATCAATATAAAATCACATTATAAATAACATGAAATTATAAACAAATTATACTATCAAAATCCAACTCGTAAATATAGTACCAATAAATAATAATTTAATTTAAAACATGTCTTGAAATTCAATATCACAATAAACAGAGCAGTATTAGCAAAAGAGTTATCATTATAAAATCCGATATTTTAAAATAAGGTCCATGTCACTAAAATAAAGTCAACTTGCCAGATAAAAACATTACAATTTGATTTACTTCAAGAGATATGTTGATCCTCCAAGTGCTCGAACCAAGGTATCTAACCAACAGTATCTGAAAGGGGAAAACATTTTCAAAAGGTGAGCTAGGCTCAGTGTGTCCCAACATTTCTATAAAATCACAATAGGTACAAATCATAGTCCAGTAATCTCACAAATTCGTAAAAGAGTTTAACTTTTTGAAAATCATAGTTTAAACCCTTTTCTGGTACACCATCAGTAGTTCCCAAAATTATTTTCCATATAGCTTACTTTATGCACATAGCAAAAAGAAAGTCGACTTAAGGATAGGCTATGAAGCTTGTATCCTTAAGCCCAAGTCAATAAGTCCATATAGCTTACCCTAAGCACACAGCAAAGGAAAGTCGACCTAATGAAACATCTTGGGGCCCTCAAGAGTCACATTAGGCCCAGTTAGCTTGATCAGAGCTATTCCATCATATTTCAATTCCAAAATTCAATTGCACTGTGACATAAATTCCATAAATCCAAAAACATGGTAATCATATACCATTTCAAAACAAAAATTAGATAGCAGCCATATTCCATAAATTGTCACATTAAATTGGTGCATCCATAAAACAATAGCCAATGAATTCGATGTACCACATATTAAAACCAATAAAACAGTTCAATAATAAGTAGGGAACACACCTCGACAATAGGTTCAAATAGTAAATTTACTGATTGCTGGTTTCACCACGCTCTGCTACAATTTTCGAACGGGTGAATATTGGCACATGTGGTTTAACTGATCTAGAAGAGCTGGGTCGAGCTGTCGAACGATCCGGAGAGTCTCTTGTACCTTCAAACAATAATAATCTATCAGTCCCAAATCCTATTTAATTGTTCAAAGCTAGTCTTCTTAAGTATATAAGCATTTTTCGAGTTTGACTATCAATTTGGGGTATTTCGAGTCTGAATTTGACCAAACGGATTGCGGAAACGGAATCAGGACGTCGAAAAATATAAAGTATGACTTTTTGGAAATTCAAATTCATGGTCAAAGTCAAAGTCAACCACTTTGACCGTCGATTTGGAGGCCTTCGAGTTCGAATTTGACAAAACAGACAGTGGAAATGGATTCGGCACGTCGAAAACTATCAGGATAGGTATACTCGGAAAAGATTAACGGTCGTTTAATGCTCGGTCAAAGCCATTTTAAGTTTGGGTCAAAGAAAGTCAACGGTCAACGGTCAACGGTCAACGGTCGGGTCGGGTCAACGGTCGGGTTGGGTCAAACCGGTCAAACCGGTTCGGACCGGTCAAACCGGTTCGAACCGGTTGAAACCGGTCAAACTTGTCAGAACCGGTTGAAAAACGGTTAAACCGGTTTCCAGCAGCCACTCGCCCTGTGGCGGCACGTGTGGCGCGTGAGGCGTCCTCCGGGGCCCTAAAAATCCCGAAAAAATTTCTAAAAATTATTTTGAGCGATTTCGAGATACTTACAACGATCGGTTCAAATTTTTGAACGGCGGAGAGCTCGATTTCAAATCGGCCGAATCTTTTGACTGCACCACCTCCTCACGCGCCGCCGTCTACGGCGAACAAGGTTGACACCGGTGAACTCGGAACGGCACAAGGAACACGATGGTGCGGGAGGTGTCGTAAACGGAGCAACGATCAGCGGTGAATTTAAGATTTTCTCGGCGATAGAGCTAACAAAACCGTCTATACTTTGATTGGAAATTCCCGACGTTTGGTCGCGTTTCGCTTCAATTAATTTGAAGGGTTTGTTCCTCGCTCGATGATGAACACAACGGTGGTTTCTAAACAACGATCGGAATTCGGACGGCGTCGGAATCGAGTTTGGAAGTTGTGTGCGTGAGGAAGGATTTGTGAAATTGATTTCTGTTTTTCAAAACAGAAATCACGCATATAACAATTGTCTGCCGACACTCCAAGGTTAAATTCAGGGCTTGGTCCCTGAATTTTCTTTAACTTTAAAACAAGCTCCAAGTTTTAAAATCTTTCAATTCAGTCCCAAATTTTCGCCAAATTTTCACAATTAAACCCTCCAATTTCAATTAAATATTATTTTGAAAATCGGGTTGTTACAGGCACAACCCAACCTCAACACTACAGTGCATTATTAGGTGAGCAAGGCTCGACCTCAGCACTACAGTACAATATTTGACTCCTATACATGTGTCATCATAAAGTTATACGTTGGACTATGGTTTATTGGTTAATAAATGATAAACAAGCAAATAAGCTTACGAGCTTCTAGAATGAATGACAAGTATATTGGTAAGAAACTTAATATCTAGTTATATCATGTTAATATATGGTAACATGGTTGGAATACAAGTAAAGTGATCATATTGCATTGAATATTATTATTTATTTAAATTTTTTTTGTTGCATTGCTTTAAATATTCATATGATTTCCTCACTAAGTGTATACTTAGCGTGTGGTGATTTTCACGCATAGGAAAGAGAAGGAAAATAAGTAAGGATATGAACTTGGCATCAATCACCAAGGAAATATTTACAGGTAACAATGATGACATCATGTTGTGTTCTTAATATAGTTAGTATTAAATATCATTAGTAATATGAATAAATATTATGATATTAAACTATGCTTAAAAAATAATTTGGGTTTTAAATTAAATGTGTTAGACAGTCTTATTTATTTTATGAAACATAATAAAATTGTCTATCACTACATGAAACTGGTTTTGAATTGGTAACTAAAAATATAATATTACATTTTTTCTCCGAATAATTATTTTGTATAATTGTTCAAATTACGGAAATGGTGATGTTTGAATGAAATAAAATTTTACTCAATTCAATTAAAGAAATGTTTTGAATTTCTGATGTGAAATCTGTAACTCGTATTGGTTCGTGTATACGGGTTATGGGTGTTACATTATGCTCCCTATGGGTTCGACAACATTTTTTGCTACCACTTTATTACTTGAACGATATGTATACTTGCATTGAATGTTATAGCATCTTACGTAGCATCCAGCTTTTTCTGTCGTTGTCAATAAGCATCGGTTTGGTTTAGGGTTTTTTATTTTGCTTACTTTGTTGTTTTCTTTTTTAGTTTATTATATTTTTGCTAGTGTATGCCTTGAAGCAACGAATAATTAGAGCCATTTGATATAGAGATTGAAAGAACTTTTAGGAGATGTCGTCGTGAAGCTGCTATGGCTGGACAAGGGAATGATATTTTACCCTTACTACAAAATAGAGAGAATGATGAGTATCAAACTGGCATTGGAGCTGGGCAACTATATCAGAACATGGTTGATTTTAATATCCCTACTGTGAGCATGTGGTACCAAAGTTGGATGATCTGCATCTTGGCATTGTGAGGACAGTTATTAATGCTGCAAATTTTGAGTTAAAGTTTGTTTTGTTGCAAAAGCTACAATCTATGGGACAATATGGAAGATTTATTACTGAAAATCATAGGGATCATTTGAGAACATTAATGGAGGTTTATGATTCTTTTATTCAAGAAGTTGTTCCAGATGAGGCACTAAAGTTAAAGTTATTTCCTTATTCAATGTGTGATAATGCATGTGTTTGCTTGAGTTCATTGCCACCAGGTTCTATAACATCCTTGAATGAGTTAGTACAAAAATTATTGTTGTGGTTCAACCCGCCGAACATGAATGCTAAGCTTCAAAATGATTTACCTTCATTCAAGCATATGGAGGATGAAAGCTTGTATGAAGCATGGGAAAGATTTAAGGAATTGATGCGGAAGTGTCTTATACATGGATTCCTACATTGGACTCAAATGGAGATGTTTTATAACGGGTTAAACATACATACTCATATGGTGGTTGATGCTTCAGCAAATAGAGTTTTGATGGATAAAACAAACCATAAAGCATATGATATCCTAGAAATGATATCCACTAATGATTATATATCCTAATACGCGAAAAATGTTTGGCTGACATAATACTGTAGGAGTAGACTATGAATTGTTCAACTCTATGGCATCTCAGATTTCACCATTGGCTGAAATGGTGAAGAAATTGTAAAAAAATAGGAGGAATAAACGAAGTCAAAGATACATCTCTCATTACTTGCATTTATTGTGGTGATGATCACAATTTTGATGAATGCCCCTAAAATTCAAAGTTTGTCTATTATGTGTGGAATTATCAAGGGAATGAAAATGTTTTTGGCAATACAAACAATGCAAATTTCAGAAATCATCCCAATCTTTCTTGGAGAAGTTAGAAATTTGCAAATCCACAGCATCAGTACTATCAGTAGAAACATTATACTCAACAAAATCAGATGCCACAACCACAACTATAGTAACTTATTACTCAGCCACAACAAAGACAAAATTATCAAGGTCAATCTTCAACCCAAACTTCAACTTTATCACCTTTTGAATATATGATGAAAGAATATATGGAAAACAAAACAACTTCGTTAAGGGGTATAGAAAATCAGATGGGACAAATGGCTAATGTTCTAAATAGTCAAATGCAAGGAGCGTTGTCTAGCGACACTAAGAATCTAAAGCAAACTGGTAAAGAGCATTACAAAATCATTACTATAAGAAGTGGAGTTCATATTGGAGAACCAGCTGAAGAACCTAGGAGAAATGATGAGGAAGTTCCTAAGAATGGTAAAGGGAAAAGCAAAGAAGGTGAGCCTGAGCCACCTCTGAGTCATTTCACAGTACCAAAATTTGGGTAGTGTAGCAATTCAGAGTTAGTTCCGATAACAACCCCTATTACATCTGACGCTCAGCCAAATTTAATGCCTCAGCAAAAACAACCAAAAATACCTCCAGCATTTCCACAGTGCTTAAAAAAGACAAAGAAAGATCAGCAATACAATGCCTTTATTGATATCCTTTGCTAACTCACAATTAATATTTTATTGATTGATGATTTAGAGAAAAATCTGAACTGTATCAAATTCATGAAGGAAATTCTTTCGAAGAAAATGAGACTTGGTGAGTTTGAGAGTGTCGTTATTACTGAAGGTTATAACGCTATGGCTACTAGTCAATTGCCACTAAAGCTTAAAGATCCAGGGAGTTTTACTATTCCTTGCAACATTGGTGACACATTTTGCTAACATAAATCTAATGCCATTTTCAAATTTTAGGAAATTTGGGAGATGCGAAGCGAAGCCCACTATGGTTACTTTGCAACTTGATGATCGTTCTACCATGCATCCAAGTGGTACTGTGGAAAATATGCTTGTGAGAGCATAAAAGTTTATTTTTCCTATAAACTTCATCATTTTAGATTGTGAAGTAGACAAAGAGGTTCCAATTATTCTAGGCCACCCACTTTTTTCCACAGGGCAAGCTTTAATTGATGTTAAAAAGAGAGAATTGACTACGTGCTTTAATGATAAACATAATACTTTTAATGTCTTAAATAATGTCTATTATATAGATGAAAGTGCTAACTGTTTTTCACTTAATGTAATTGATATTTTTGAACAAAAGCATTTAGAAGAATGTTACAGCGCATATAGAGTCATTAGTGATTCAGTGGAAATTGAGGAATTCTTGGATGATGTAGGAGATGAATGTTGTAGAAAATATATACAGAATATCGAACATTTAGAAATGCCTGATCATATTATTAGAGCACCGAAGTCATCTATTGAACAACCGCCAAAATTTGAATTGAAACCTCTGTCAGAGCATCTAAAAACCTTAAAGAAAATGAAACACTGACAGTCTTTGTTGTAGCATAGCTTACAGCATCACATGAATCTCAATTGATTGATGTGTTGAAGTAGCATAAAAAAGCTATTTCTTGGAGTATTACTGATATAAAAGGCATTAGTCCATCATTTTGCATGCACAAAATTCTTTTAGAGGACCCTAATAGTAGCTCTACTGAACATCAACGAATATTAAATCCAACCATGAAAGAAATGGTTAGGAAGGATATTATCAAATGGTTAGGTGTTGTAATTATATATCCAATTTCGTATAGCGATTGAGTCAGCCCTATGCAATGTGTTCTATAGAAAGGCGACATTAATGTGGTGACAAATGATAAAATTGAATTAGTGTCTGTATGATACCTTTTCTTTTCATAGAATGCAATTTGGGTTATGTAATGCTCCAGAACATTTTAGCATTGTATGATGGCCATCTTCTTCGATATGATTGAAGATTATCTTGAGGTTTTTATAGATGATTTTTTCAGTATTTGGGCAAGATTTTGAGAATTGTTTGAACAACTTGGATGCAATATTTAGATGTAAGGAAACCAATATAGTTTTGAATTGGGAAAATGCCACTTTAAGGTCAAGGAGGGTATAGTGCTAGGGCATCAAATTTTCTACCATAACATTGAAGTAGATAAAGCAAAAGTAGAGGTTATTGAAAAATTAACACCTCGAACTAATGTGAAGGCAGTTTGAAGTTTTATGGGTTATGTTGGTTTCTATAGAAGGTTTATTAAGGATTTCTCTTAATTTGCTAACTCATTGTGTTCATTACTAGAGAAAAACATGAAGTTTATCATTTATGAAGAAGTACTTAAATCTTTTAAGATAATTAAGATGAAGCTTGTAAATACCCATGTTATTATAGCACCAGGTTGGAATTTTCCCTTTGAATTAATATATGATGCTAGTGATTTTGTTGTAGGTGCAGTGTAAGGGCAACAAAAAGATAAAATTTTTTGCATGATACATTGTGTGAGTAGAGCATTGAATGAAGCCCAAGCTAATTACACCAAAACTGAGAAAGAGTTGCTCACTATGGTGTTTCCTTTTGACAAATTTTTTTCATATCTAGTGGGTACAAAATTGATTGTCTACATTGACCACTCAGTGTTGAATCATTTATTTGCCAGGAAGGATACAAAACCTCATTCTATTCAATGGATGCTTTTACTCCATGAATTCAGTATAAGAAGGGATCTGAAAATCAAGTGGTTGACCACTTATATAGGTTAGAATCTAGCAGCAAAGATGGAAACAATTTAGTAATTCCATATGACTTTCTAGATGAATGACTGTTAGTTGGTACAACATTATTGTGGTACGCTTGTTTTACAAACTATCTAGTTAGTGGAATAATTCCACCCGATCTTAAGTATCAAGCCCGAAAGAAATTTATGAGGGATGTGAAGCAATACCATTAGAAGGAGATAATGCAATGATCAACTCATACAGTGATGTATTCCTCAATATGAAGAACAAAACATTCTACATCATTGTCATAGTGTCCCGAATGGAAGACATTTTGGTGGTATGCATATAGTAGTGAAATTGCTTCAATATGGATATTATTGGCCATCATTTTTCAAAGATGCCAATGAATTTGTAAAGCATTGTGATCGCTACAAGCGAATAGGGACTATTTCTCAATGAAATGGAATGCCAATGCAACTTATTTTGGAGATCTAGCTATTCGATGTTTGGAGATTAGATTTTATGGGTCCTTACCCATCTTCATGTGGAAACCTCTTTATTCTAGTTGACGTAGAGTATGTATCCAAATGAGTGGAAGTTGTAGCCTTGCTAAAAAGTAGTGCTAAAGTTGTACTGCGATTCTTGGACAAAAACATTTTCACTCATTTTGGAACTCCCCATGCTTTTAACAATGATGAAAAATCCCAATTAGTCATCAAGTTGGTAGAGCATTGAATAGATATAGTGTGAAGCATAAGATCACGATAATGTATCATCCACAATCTAGTGGTCCAGACGAGGTGTCCAATCGAGAAATCAAGCAAATTTTTTAGCAGGTGATGAACCCTTCTAGAAAAAATAGGTCACAATGGCTTAAAAAATCATTATGGGTTTATAGGACTACTTACAAGACTCCATTAGAGATGTCTCCTTATCATCTTTTTTAGGGTAAAGCTTGTTATTTACCTGTGGAGCTGGAGCATAAGGCTCTATAGGCATTAAAGGGGTTGAACTTTGATCTAGATGTTGCAGGTGAAAAACGAATGCTAGAGCTCAATGAGTTAGAAAAACTTCAAAATAATTCCTATGAGAGTTCATGCATTTACAAAGACAAGAGTACAAAGTGGAATGATCAAAATATTTTTCCAGGGGAATTCATTGCTTGGTAGCAAGTGTTGTTGTTTAATTAAAGATTAAAGTTATTCCATGGGAAATTGTGTTATCGTTAGTCATGTCCTTTCGAAGTTCTTGAAGTTTTCCTCATGGTGTAGTGCTACTAAAAAATTCAGTGGATGTAAGCACATTTAAAGTCAATGGGCAACGTTTAAAGCATTATTGTTAGCAACAAAGCCCTAGCATTGCACACTAAGCGACCCCCCTCCTTTTTGATATTTCTAGCCCTTTCGAATAAGTCAATTTCTTTGACATTTATTTTTATGTTCTTATTTTTATTACTTCTTTTTGTATAGTACTTTTGTTTCGATCACTCTCTGCCAGATATTTTTTGTTGCACAACTCTTTTCATTTTGGCGTGCATCTATCGCTATACTAAAGCCAAAGTGATACAAGGGTACCTCTATATTTTTTACGATAAAATTCAGAATGAGCTGTCCACCATTTACCCCTTCCATTTTTCACTGTCCACCTTACTCAATCATAACCGCCCATTTAAAATCAACCATTATCCCTCCACCTTTGAATTTTAAATTTTAAAACTTTTATCCCCTTTTTCACGCAATCTATTTACTATCATTTACTTTCTCGTTTATTTACCATCATCTTCTCTGAGTCTGAAACCCTTATTAACCCTCATATTCATTTTCATCATCTAACTAAAATTCACCATGGCACCCAAAAGGAAGACG